GAGCAATTGCCAAGACTTTCTTTCTGTTCCTTGAATTATGTTTTCTTTGTATTTTACTATTTTCACTTCTAACTTTCTGTTATGGGCTAAATTGTGTCCCCTCCCTGCCCCCAAATTTACATGTTGAAGTCCTAACTTCTAGGACCACAGAGAGCATAGCTGTATTAGGATGCAGGGTCTTTCAAGAAGTTGTTAAGTTAAAATGGGGTCATTGGGGTGGGCCTCTATACAATACAAATGGTATCCTTACACAGACGGGACATTTGGATACAGACAGGTACAGAGGGAAGACCATGTGCAGACACAGGCCATCTACAGCCAAGGAGAAAAGCTTCAGGAAAAGCGATGCTGCCTCCAGCATCATGAGAATATAAATTTCTGTTATCTAAGGCATCCAGACTGTGGTAAGTTGTTAAGACAGTCTTAGCAAATGAACACACCCCAACTCCTTTTCTTAATTTCACACTGTTCTTATTGCTCTGTTGCTGCAGGAGTTTTGCGCGGCAGCCATGCAGTTTACTTTCATCTTGCTCATGCTTGAACATGTCAGTCTAGAAATTCCATTTCCTAGGATGCCATTTGGGTGAATTAGTCTCTTTCCAAGGCATCTGAGATCAGCTAATGTTTCCCTTTGGGCCAGATACTTGGATTCTATCCTCTTTTTTGTAGCATGCAAGCTGGCTGCAGCCTGGAGCAATCCTCTGCTTTGGGGCTGCTTCCCCGATTCACCTCATCAGTCCCTACCTTTACTCTCCCCAGTCCTCCTGGGGCCATCTTCACTATCCTAGGTTAGAAAAGGAAGAAGATAAAGCAACCCACTTTTTTTTTTCTGTTCCAGATTTAGTAATGGAGGAGTTCACATAATTTTTTCCCTCTCATCGCAGGCCTCTTAAGGTGGATGTATGCAGTTAGGAGGGCAGGTGGGTGAGGAACCCACCTCTGCGGCCCCCTCTGCTCTTCACCTGGAAAGTGGGCAGGACTGTGGGTAAATTACACATCCAAGTGTTGACTGACTGGCCATTCCAGTGAAACCTTTGCTTTCTGTGATTACCAGAGTGCTAATTCATATTAATTTGAAGAGTAATTGGCATTGGGATTGGGGGAATAGGTAGCAGGCGTCCCAGCAGGGGCCATCACCCAGAAGAACTCACTGTAGAAGGTAGGAAGGAAAATTAAATTTAAGTGAATGGTTACATCCCACTACACTTGACTTTAAATTCTGCTTCTTGTTTTGTCTGCCATGGAGAAATTTCCAGATGCTAGAAGAGAAATTTTACATTAATCATTCTGCAGAAGGCTAGTGGCCGGTGAATAAACACCTCGTGCTCTGCACTACAGAACTTTCAAGTGCCCTTAACACTGGGTATGGGGGAGGCTGGAGCAGGTGCCAGTTTGAGGAAGGAGGTGGAAGGAGATCCCAGCCCTCCAAAGCCCAGCTCTTGCTGTTAAGCCTGAGTCACTTTGGGGAACTCCCAGGTCCTCATATCAGATTGTCATCCACATTTCCTGTTTGAAGGGGGAAGAGACATTTCCTGGCACTCAGGATGTCTTCAGGGGCCCTCAGTACTCTCTTGAAGCTGCCGTGTGCCCTCCCCACAGCTCCACTTCTAAGAAAGCCAAGAGAGCAAACATGCCTCGGGGGAGAGCCAGTACATTTCATAAGTAAGCAGTAGTTTTAGAGTTGTTGCCAAATTCCAAATACGTCATGTTAAAAAATAATGAATGGCACCTCTGGAAAATTTGGAAAAACAAGAAAACTTCCAGTCAGTAGACTCAATCGAGAACATTCCTCTCCCTTTTCTCGGAACGAAAAACCCCAATCGATGTAATAGAAAACCACGAATAACATCCTAAGCCATATTTTAATAGAATTTCTCCCTCAGCTCTCAATTGCCCCCCAGTCAGGAATGTACTGCTTTTGGTGAGTATTTGCAGAAAAGGGGAGTGTGTGATCCTCCTGGCAGGCCTACCTACCTCCTCTCCTGCAATGATCCAGGTGGACACATTTGCAATAATAAAACAGCATGAAAGAAAAGCTGACAAACCAGGAAAACAGAAGCTAAGAAGGCAGACACCATGTGAAGCTGAAGGAACTGAAGAGCTAACATTTACTGAGTCCCGCATTTTTTGCCATGATGTGCTTTAAATTAAAAAAGTGAAATAGGCTGTTTCCTATTTCTTAAACTAATAATACATTACAATAAAGTAGGATTAAAAAAATAATAATAGTATACTAAGATCATCTGTAATTTAAGTAAACCAAAATGTGCGTAAAATCCAGGAGTTTAAATCATTATGTAATCAACTTTGAAATGCATGGGTTTTTTAAAGTAATGTTTTTAGAAGCTGAAAATCAGGACTCATGAAAATGTATAAGAAAAATCAGTCCATTTGCAAATGTTTTCCCCACAATTCTCCCTCTGGGTTTTTGCTTTCTCCTTCTCACAAGCACCCTGCTCACGTCTCTGCCTGTTGCCCCTAATTCTGGAAGCCAGCCCTGGTATATTCAAGCACACCCGACATGGCCTCCCCAAGCCAAGAGGAGGAAGTGGGGAGGTGCCGTTTCTGGCCCCGGGATAGCCCTTTGGTGGAAAGTGAGGTTTCCTAATCAGCTCAGGAGGCTGCAACAGGCAATGAGGGAGGCCAGTCCTTTCACTTCGGACTGAATATGATGCTAGAATTCCCAGGGCCTTAAGCTTGCACATTTTGAAGAAAGTGGGGCTTTACATGCGTCCATATCCTCTAGTGGGCCTCTTGCTGGCCACCAGACATGCGGTTAGCAAAATGGCAAGCAGTCCTGTGATACTCAGGCCCAGGGCCACAGGGGTTTCTCTCCTGTTTCTGTCTCTGAAGCATTCATCTGCTGTAATTGAAGTCAGAGTAACAAGTGTTACAGATTGGCCACAAATGCCGGGAAGTGGCACTGCCACATCGCCTCAGCTTTGGAGAGAAGGAGATGGAGGGAGAGACGGAGCTGCTGGGGTCCCACCTGCTGCCGTAGATGACAGTGGGCGAGGCTCAGTGTGGCGGGCCTGACACTGGTAGTTCTGGTGATTAGCTAGGGAGTTTATTAAAGTGCAGATCCCCAGACACGTGCCCAAGAAATTATAACTCAGTGGGTCTGAGGTGGAGCTGCTGGGATTCTAATGCTGCTTTGAGGCAGATCCAACTTTGAGAAAACGCTGGTTTAGCCTAGAGGGTCATGATAGAGTTATGTCTTGACCCTCAAGCTGGAGTAATTCCCAGAGCATGTTCTCCAACTCTAGCAACGGTTTGAGACAGAGTCTCGCTGTGTCACCCAGGCCGGAGTGCAGTGATGCAATCTTGGCTCACTACAACTTCCACCTCCAGTTTAAGTGATTCTCATGCCTCAGTCTCCTGAGTAGCTGTGATTACAGGCATGCGCCATCATGCCTGAATAATTTTGTATTTTTAGTAGAGATGGGTTTCTCCATGTTGGTCAGGCTGGTCTCAAACTCCTGACCTCAAGTGATCCACCCGCCTCGGCCTCCCAAAGTGCCAGGATTACAGGCATGAGCCACTGCACCTGGCTTGTGTACCTTATTTTAAGATGACATCATTACAGAAGTTTTTCACACCTTCATGATGATTGTAAAAGAAAGAGTTTTCCAACATTAGAAGTTTTGAGAGTGGATGACAAAAGGGGGGAACGCCTACTGGCAAATTTTTATCTGACTGTGGGACTCAGACAAAGCCTCCAGAAACTGGGGGACCCAAGGCAAGCAACGCCCAGTCCTTCCTCCACCAGATGCTTCCCACTGAGTATGTCAGGTGTTTTCTGCTACACGCATCTGCAATTTTATAATGGAAGCCAAAGCGCAGTAAGATTCATATCGTAGACCTTTAAAATATGGCGAAACTTCCAGCTAAATCTATTTTTGATAACTGGGAAGTACTCAGCACATTTTTTAGTTATTATGAGAGGGATGTTTAGAAATTGAAGTACATGACCCTCCTGGTCATAGGTAGAAATCCTTGTAGCACTGTTTTCCTGGAAGGGAGAAGAGGGCTTTTCTGGAAAGTCACCCTGGTCTGCTCCTGGCCCTTGCCCAGGGACCTGTTTTCTTCCAGCGCAGTCCTTAGGCAGGCTCTGCCTGTGGAGGTCAGAACCCAAGCAGAAGTGACAGGGAAGCTAAAACTGGCTATAAGGAACTCTGTTGCGAGCGACAGCCTGTAATTGGGATGAGGGGCCTGACAGAATTTCCTCCTATCTTGAATTGCTGCATCTTGCTCTTTTCCCTCTACAGGTGAAAAGAAGCTAATCTGAAATCTCAATTTTAGACCCTACTGATCCTCAGGATCTTTCAAGTGTTCTCGAAACATATCTGAGTTTACACCCAACAGGACATACAGGGAAGTGGCAGGTGGTATTTTCTGCTGTTGTGATTGAGTGCGTGTACGTTTAGATGAATGAGAATGTCTGTGAGTTGAAGACAGTGTGACCTGCTGCGGGAGAGCTGTGACTGTGGTTTGGTGCAGGTGCCTGATTCTGAGGTGGCCGGTGGGTGGCAGGTGGACAGAGGAGCCTGGCCCTGGGAGCTGTGGGAATCACACTGCTCCAGGAAGCTCATAAGATGCTTGCTCCTTTTTTTTTTTTTGAGACGGAGTTTCGCTCTTGTTACCCAGGCTGGAGTGCAATGGCGCGATCTCGGCTCACGGCAACCTCTGCCTCCTGGGTTCAGGCAATTCTCCTGCCTCAGCCTCCCGAGTAGCTGGGATTACAGGCATGCGCCACCATGCCCAGCTAATTTTTTTTGTATTTTTAGTAGAGATGGGGTTTCGCCATGTTGACCAGGATGGTCTCGATCTCTTGACCTCGTGATCCACCCGCCTCAGCCTCCCAAAGTGCTGGGATTACAGGCGTGAGCCACCGTGCCCGGCCCAATGCTTGCTCCTTTGACAGCTGCAGACAAAACAATTTGCATCTACCCTGGGGTCCCTGAAGGGTATGTCTGTGACCTGACCAGCCCTTGACTTACCATTTCCAAAGTGGTCACCTTCAAAATCAAAGGCTTGAAGCTGCACATTGGTTGTTTTCAGCTGCAGGTGGGCTGACAGCTGGAGGCTCTGTTCACTCACACACTTGAAGGAGTGCCCGGCCGCTGTCTCGAACATCACCACAGCGTGTTGCATTCCTTGGTAAACTCTCTCTGAAAAGGTCACACAGAGATGCATAAGAGTGGTCCTATGGCCGGGCGCGGTGGCTCAAGCCTGTAATCCCAGCACTTTGGGAGGCCGAGGTGGGTGGATCACGAGGTCAAGAGATTGAGACCATCCTGGTCAACATTGTGAAACCCCATCTCTACTAAAAATACAAAAAAAAAAAAAATTAGCTGGGCATGTTGGCACGTGCCTGTAATCCCAGCTACTCAGGAGGCTGAGGCAGGAGAATTGCCTGAACCCAGGAGGTGGAGGTTGTGGTGAGCCGAGATGGCGCCATTGCACTCCAGCCTGGGTAACAAGAGTGAAACTCCGTCTCAAAAAAAAAAGAGTGGTCCTGATGTGTGTCCACTGAGCTCCAGCTGTGGCCGAGCTGCCCATGTGCCCCTAAGTGGCCTTCCTTCCGAAGGGGTCTTTGGGGGTTCTGCCACCTTCTCTCCATGAAAAAGAACCTGGAGCGGTTTGGAGACTTTCTCAGCCGCTCTGTTTGGGGCACAAGGGAGACGCCTCACGTGAACTAGGATGTGCAACCCTGAAATGAGAACTTTTGGGAATGTGTTCTTTTTAAATCATTGGCAACAGAGTGGGTGGGAACTACTGTCAGTGCTTAGAGGCTACACAGAGGTGTCCCCTGAATTTTAGAGATAAGAGAAGATTGCTTTCTGAGACTTAGAAAGTCAGAGAACCCTTAATGAATCAGTGAAGGAACATGTAGCCAGCAAATGGAGCACTTGCCTATCGCCAGGCTGAATGATTAGAAGAGCAGTCAAGAACTCATTGGGAGGGATCGTTGCATCCATCCTCGGATACAGAGAAGGGAGAGGCCCATCTCTTCCCATCTGAGTGCCGCCTGGGGAGAGGAAGCTGCCCAAGGACCCAGCCTATCGTATGACAGGTATGCCCTGTCCAGGAAGTGGAAGCTTCAAGGCAGACGCAGTTACACATCTTAATCATTGAGGCCAGGCACGGTGGCACGTGCCTGTGGTCCCAGGTACTTGGGAGGATCATTTGAGCCCAGGAGTTTGAGGTTGCAGTGAGCTATGATTATGCCTCTGCACTCCAGCCTGGGACATAGAGTAAGAATCTGCCTCTAAAATAAATAAATAAATAAGCCAGGTACAGTGGCTCCTGCCTGTAATCCCAGCACTTTGGAAAGCTGAAGCAGGCAGATCACTTGAGGTCAGGAGTTTGAGACCAGCCTGGTCAACATGGTGAAATGCTGTCCCTACTAAAAATACAAAAATTAGCTGGGCGTGGAGGTGGGCACCTGTAATCCCAGGTACTCAGGAGGCTGAGTCAGGAGAATCACTTGAACCTAGAAGGAGGAATTTGAGGTGAGCCAAGATCATGCCATTGCACTCCAGCCTGGGTGACAGAGTGAGACGCCATCTCAAAAATAAATAATAACAAAAACATAAATAAGAAAAATAATTAATCATACAATGAACTCCATTTTCTCTAGTCCCATGCTTACTAAGCACCCTTCGGACTATACTATAGCTTCTTGAGGGGGAGAAATTTCACTGGCCAGAGGACCCAACTGGGGTCCGCTTAGTAGTTACAGTAAGGAATAGTCACACGATGAATTAACAAGGCAGCATTAACGCCAGTGTCTGCACATGCAGATGCCGTACGCAATGTGCTGAATTCTCTGTACACTACTGTATCGTGTGGTAGAGCCTGGGAGAGTCTGCTGCTACCATCCCCACTAACGTTACAACTGTCACTACTGTAATTACAGCTGATTGCTGTTCTTAACACCACCACTGACATGAGAACCATCATTACTGTAACCGCTTCAGCTCCTGCTCAGCCTGTAGCATCCAGAGCTAGAATTGATAGAATTGATTTTCCCACCCACTCAGCCTCTAAATTAATTTTTGATCAGACTTTTCGTTCCCTTGCCTTTTTTTTTTTTTTTTTTTTTTTGAGACAGAGTCTCACTCTGTCACCCAGGCTGGCGTGCAGTGGTGTGATCTCAGCTCACTGCAACCTCTGCCTAGCAGGTTCAAGCGATTCTCCTGCCTCAGCCTCCCGAGTAGCTGGAATTACAGGCATGCACCACCATGCCTGGCTAATTGTTTTGTATTTCTAGTAGAAATGGTGTTTCACCATGTTGGCCAGGCTGGTCTCAAACCCCTGACCTCAGGTGATCTGCCGGCCTCAGCCTCCCAAAAGCTAGGATTACATGCACAAACCAGTGCACCTGGCCTCTCCTGCCTCTTGAGAGATTTCTAGTCTATTGCTGGCTAAAATCTGGTCCATACCTAGTGATAACATTAGCTAATTTATGTTAGCACTCACAATATTTATTCTCTATCCTAAATGAGGAGACAGGGCTAAGTGAATTAACATATATGAAAATGAGTTGTCAACTATGCTATTTTACTTACATTTACAGTCATTGGCAAATCCCCCTGAACATATCAATATAATGCAGCCAATATTTTAAGTAGATATTACTCCACATTTTCATTTCTTGGCAAGTTTCTTTGGAATAAATTACTTTGCTGGTAAAATAATGTTTAAGCCAGTCATAGGAAAGAGCTTTGAAAAGGAGAAAACCGACATGAAAACTCCTAGTACAGTAGCTGGCACAGAGGGATACACACAAATAGGGCTTATTTAACTTTCTGGGAAACATTTGAGGACTCTGAGAGATATCCAGTGTGGGTGGGAGCTTGGATATGAGCACCGTAGGAGCTCTGTGAATTTACCCCAGTCATTCTCCATACAGCAAGCAAAGTGAGCCTTCCTAGATGTGGATCTGATGTATTATCTTCCTCTCTCCCCTAGACCCCCACAGCATCCTTTCACACTTAGAATAAAGACCAAAGTCCTGACCGTGCCTTGCCCACTGGCCCTGCATGCTCTGGGCTGGCTGGCTGTTCCTCAACCTCATCTGCCGCTGTTCTCTGTCCGGGCACACTGGCACCATGCAGGTCCTGGAAAACACTGCCAGTCACCCCTTAGGGCCTGTGTATCTGTCCTTCCTGCCATCTGGAAAGAGCTTCCCCAGGCCCAGATATCCCCAAAGAGCCAAATTTCTCTGCTCAAACTTCACCTCTTCAGAGAGGGCCTTTCTCCCCTGATGGCTTCCCCACCTAAAATAGCATTCGATTCCTCTCCACTCCCACTGTTTATGTTTGTTCACAGAACTTATCACTACTTGGCCGGGCGTGGTGGCTCACACCTGTAATCCTAGCACTTTGGGAGGCTGAGGCGGGTGGGTCACCTGAGGTCAGGGGTTCAAGACCAGCCTGACCAACATGGTAAAACCACGTCTCTACTAAAAATACAAAAATTAGCTGGGCATGGTAACAGCCTATAATCCCAGCTACTCAGAAGGCTGAGGCAGGAGAATCGCTTGAACCTGGGAGGCAGAGGCTGCAGTGAGCCAAGACCAAGTCACTGCACTCCAGCCTGGGTGACAGAGAAAGACTCTGTCTCGAAAAAAAAAAACCCAAAACTTATCACTACTTAAGAGAGCACAGGAGTTCCCCCTTACCCTTGAGGGATACATCCCAAGACCTCCAGTGTATGCCTGAAGCCACTGAACTCTACATATACTATGTTTTTTCCTGCATGTATGTATATACCTGTGATGAAGTTTAATGTATAAATTGCTCATAGTAAGATATTAAAAATAACTAATGATAAAATAAAAAAATTATAACACTACAACAAAAGTGATGAGCATATGATCTCTCTGTCAGAAACTCTAATTGTACTTACCTGTTTTTGCACCAACCATGAAAAGTGAAACTGTGAATAAGGTGAGGGATACTGTATTATCATTTATTGTGTGTGAAACCGTGAATAAGGTGGAGGGGTACTGTATCATGATTTAACGTGTGCGAGATCAGGAATAAGGTGTGTGGGGTACTGTGTCATTTAACATGTGTGAGATTGGGAATAACGTGTGTGGGGTACTGTGTCATTTAACGTGTGTGAGATCGGGAATAAGGTCTGTGGGGTACTGTGTCATTTAACGTGTGTGAGATTGGGAATAAGGTGTGTGGGGTAGTGTCATTTAACGTGTGTGAGACTGGGAATAAGGTGTGTGGGGTACTGAGTCATTTAACGTGTGTGAGATTGGGAATAAGGTGTGTGGGGTACTGAGTCATTTAACGTGTGTGAGATTGGGAATAAGGTGTGTGGGGTACTGTGTCATTTAATGTGTGTGACATTGGGAATAAGGTGTATGGGGTACTGTGTCATCATTTAATGTGTGCGAGATTGGGAATAAGGTGTGTGGGGTACTGTGTCATCATTTAATGTGTGCGAGATTGGGAATAAGGTGTGTGGGGTACTGTGTCATTTAACATGAGATTGGGAATAAGGTGTCTTGGGTACTATGTCATTTAATGTATGTAAGATGGGGAATAAGGTGTGTGGGGTACTGTGTCATTTAATGTGTGTGAGATTGGGAATAAAGTGTGTGGGGTACTGTGTCATTTAATGTGTGTGAGATTGGGAATAAGGTGTGTGGGGTACTGTGTCATCATTTAATATGTACGAGATTGGGAATAAGGTGTGTGGGGTACGGTGTCATTTAATGTATGTAAGATGGGGAATAAGGTGTGTGGGGTACTGTGTCATTTAACGTGAGATGGGGAATAAGGTGTGTGGGGTACTGTGTCATTTAACGTGAGATGGGGAATAAGGTGTGTGGGGTACTGAGTCATTTAACGTGTGTGAGATTGGGAATAAGGTTTGTGGGGTACTGAGTCATTTAACGTGTGTGAGATTGGGAATAAGGTGTGTGGGGTACTGAGTCATTTAACATGTGTAAGATTGGGCATAAGGTGTGTGGGATACTGTGTTATCATTTAATGTGTGTGAGATTGGGAATAAGGTGTGTGGGGTACTGTGTCATTTAACGTGAGATGGGGAATAAGGTGTATGGGGTACTGAGTCATTTAACGTGTGTGAGATTGGGAATAAGGTGTGTGGGGTACTGTGTCATTTAACGTGTGTGAGATTGGGAATAAGGTGTGTGGGGTACTGTGTCATCATTTAATCTGTTGTTGTCCTCTCCCTCTTCTAGAATGTAAGCTCCATGAGGGTAAGAACTATTAGTTAGAAAAATTATGGGTCCCCAGTGCCTAATACAGGGCTTGGCACCTAGCAGGCACTAACTACATTTTAGTAGAATGAATGTAGATTCCCAGAGTATGGAATAAACTGCACTATCAGCAGCAACTCTGTCAAAAAGCCACTAAACTCTTTATGGTTGCCAATCATAATCGCTGACGTAATCTAGTCCAGCCTCCTTTATGAGCAGATGGGGAAACCACAGCACACAGAGGGCATAGTAAAGTCCCTCAAAATCACACTGCTGGCTGCTTTCTCAGTCTGTTCCTTCAAAGCAGCATTGGCTGGCCTCATGGCTCATGCCTGTTATTCCAGCACTGTGGGAGGCTGAGGTGGGCGGATCGCCTGAGGTCAGGAGTTCGAGACCAGTCTCGCCAACTGGTCTCTACTAAAAATACAAAAATACAAAATACAAAAATTAGTTGGTTGCACGCCTGTAATCCCAGCTACTTGAGAGGCTGAGGTAGGAGAATCGCTTGTACCTGGGAGGCAAAGGTTGCTGTGAGCTGAGATCACACCACTGCACTACAGCCTGGGAGACAGAGCAAGACTCTGTCTAAAAAAAAAAAACAAAGAAAACAGCATCAAACATGAGCAGACTCAATGGGATGCACAGTGAGCTAACCAGAAACAGCGCCATTGCTGGTAGAGTGGGCATTCTGTACATACTGACCTGGATCTGAGACGGTCAGATAGGCTCCCACTTCACTGATATAATAGGATTTTTCATCCTGTAAAACAGTAGAGGGTTAACCTTTGGGTAATCTCTATTCATATGTTTACAATCTTGTTTTACAAACTTTGTTCAGATTCCAGCTGTTAAATCTAGATATAAGGGCTTGGGAGGTACTTGGTACTGGGTCATAATTGAAAATTATGAAAATTCCAAAAAAGTAAACATACCACAAAATAAATAAATAATAACTAACAGTTTTCCCCTGGCCCCCAATTCCCCTACTGCATACTGGTTGCTAGGGCCTGATATGCAAATTCCACCAGTACAATTTGAGTCCCTTCAGCTGGGCCAAACTTCTCCCTGTTAAAATGCAAGTCCATCAGGAAGGTAGAAGAGCAGGAGGAGCATATATTAAGCTTTTACTAGCAATTACCGCCTAAGGGTAAGAATTCTTATCCTGAGGCCACTCATCCTTTCATTTTTAAGGCCATCTATCTGGCTTAGAAGGCTCATCCTTAAGAATACCATGGGTGGACCTCACCGGGTCCATAACCCCTCTGGGAAAAACAATGTATACAAAATGGTGTGTGCTTGTTCCTATGTAGGGTGTCAGTGGCTTTACACAGATTAATGGGCCTATATCTTCAAAATGGCTAAATGGGGCCACTGAAAGGGATTATGGGAAGAAATGCCTTACCCTGAGAAGCCTGGGTATTCTCTAGAAGAGAACCCCAAGTGGTTGTATTTTAAACACAAAGCAGCACCCCCACATTTCATCTAGAAGTTATCTTCCCATGAAAACAAAAACAAACTACAAAACAGCCCTGTAAAACCAAAGGGAATGGAACCTTCGAGGGAACTGATTTGGGGTATAAAAGGGTATGCTAAAAAGGGAGTTTCTATTTTTTAATCGAGGTGATCCACATTGTTTTAAACATTCATTAGAAAACTATCTACGAGTAAGAGGTACAGAAATGACAGAGCACCCCAAATCAGAACCTGAAACTGAGTTAGTTCTAGAAGGTTCAAATATAGTCATTAGAGAAACTTAACGACACTAATCTTGACCACATTAGAGTTCATTTGTATGTGCTTAGTGGATAATGTGTTGATTCGTCACACAATCAGAGGGTTCCATAAATGCGAACTGTTGCAGGAAGGTCACTGATACTGACACACTGAGCTCCAGACCCTACAATTCCTATCACAGCAGCACCTATCACACTCCAGCTTTGCACCCTGTGTTGGGTGCTGTCTCAGGCACTTCCATGCACTTGCTTTATTTAAATCTCACCATAACCATGAGAGAAAATGAGTCTGGGTGACTTGTCCAGGTCACAGCTCTAAAAGGTGGCAGGGGAAGATATGACCTCCAGCTCTGCCTGCCTCCGAGTCTTTCATACCCACCCCATGCCAGGCATCGCTCTAGGTCCTGGGAAAGGACCTGCTTGCCTCCTTCAAGGCGCTCAGGCTCTTGGGTCTTGAGGGCAAGTTGAACCGTGCCCTTGGACCCTCCATTTACTTTAGGGAGAAACCTCTCTTTTAGATACCATCTTTGTGTTGCTTTTACATACCATTTATTAAGGGTAATTTTTTTTTGATCTGGAGCCTCTTTTAATAGAAGAGATACTTATACTTCAGGGTCCACAGTCAGGGTTACAAGAACCCCTCCCCATCCCTAAGGGCAAGGAGACCCATTGAAGGGTTTTAAGCAGGGCAGTGACATAAGCACAGCTTTGTTTTGGAAACGGCTCAGGCTACACTGTAAGACTGATTTGAGGAGCGTTGGAACAGTGATGAGGTCAGCTGACTCCTCAGAGGCCTCTTGGAATCTTCCCTTCCCTTTGGTATCTCCCTGACTTGTCCCACCGAAAGAAAACATGATTGGCATTTCTGTGAGGGTTTCACAATTCGCCACGTGCAGCTTTCACTGACATTGGCTCATTTGATCCTTACAACAACCCCGAGACAGATTCAGTATTATCAGACCATTTTACAGCTGAGAACAAAGAGACTCGGAAGAGTTAAAGCATCTACCTCAGATGCACATAGTTTGTAAGTGAGACAAAGCAACAGCCTGCCCTGCATTTTCCTCCATGGGACGTGTGGGTATAGAACAAAAATTCATTATGTGGGAATTTACTCTCACATTCCCTGAAATGCAGCTGAAGCCTATATCCATTGATGGGAAGCAGGACCGGCTACAGAATGAATTTCTGGGGCTTAGAACAGAATGGAAGTGCAGGCCACTTGTTCAAAATCAAGAAGCTCATCTGGCAACGGCAAAGCATGAAAACCAGCATGAGCCCTTCTGAACGCACAGGCTGAACACCCATGAACAGTCCCTGACAGACAGGGCCGCTGCTGTTCCACAAGAATCCCTGCCTTCTGGGGCTGATCAAACAGTGAGGCCTTCCACAAGCAGAGTGCGCACAGTCACGGCTAGTTTATCTTACTGACACGCAGGACAGAGTCTGGAACCTGTACTCAGATTTCTCTCCATTTTGGCTGAGTCAAAATTAGCCAAATGTTGACTAGAACCAAGCTGATGTCTAACTTTTTTCTTTTTTGAGTCAGAGTCTCCCTCTGTCACCCAGGTTGGTGTGCAGTGGCAAGATCTTTGCTCACTGCAGCCTCAACCTGCCGGGCTCACGTGATCCTCCTGTGTGAGCCTCCCAAGCCGTTGGGACTATAAGCATACACAGCCAGCTAATTTTTTAAAAAAGTTTTTTATAGAGATGGAGTCTCACTATGATGCCCAGGCTAGTCTTGAACTCCTGGCCTCAAGAGATCCTCCCTGCTTGGCCTCTCCAAGTATTGGGATTACAAGGAATAAGGCTTGAGGTATGAGCTGGTATGTCCAGCCACGATGTCTATCTTGAGGGTAAAGGAAAAGTATCTGTTAGGTGGATTCATGTAAACAAAAAGGCGGGGGGATATTTAGTTTTCTTAAGATTCCAAGTTTGACTTGACACTATCGTACTTCAGTTGCCCTACACACCCTTTCTGAATCACCCTTTCCATCTGGTATTCATGGCGTGGGGTATACCGTCTTGTCTCACCACCATTCAAGACAGACATGGCTTCTGTTTATAAGTCCCTATTAAATATTTCTTTCCCAGAAAAAAAAAGATTCCAAGTTTTACGTAACTTGTGCTATGGAATGAGGCTTAGTTAGACAATTGCGCCACTTTTCTCTATAGAGTTCATGTGTTACAGGATGATCTTAAAGGAAAAGGAATCGTCTTTGGTGAACTTTTTCTGTAAATATTTTGGGCTCTGTGGTCCTTTGTTAATCCGTGGAGGAACCTTAACATCCTCCTTAGCAAAACTGAGGGTCCATCAACATGTCTGCCTTTGTACCAGCCAATTCATCCTGCCCAGGATGCCAGCATGCCAATGACGTGGGATCCTAAGGTACCCCCGTCCACTTCTGCAAAACATACGATGGAAGTTTCAGAGTCCCAGATGTTCAGGATGTGAATTTCGTCTTCAGCATCAATCACGCCTTTTTTGCTCAACATTGTACTAAATCAGGAAAGCTTTGTTCCGGACACAGCAAAAGGAACCTGTGATCTACTTTTTGGGACTCTGACCCAGAGTTCCCTGCAAAGTGTAGATTTTCTCTTTCATGGATTCATTTGTTCATCAGATGTTTGCTAAAGATAAACTACATACAGAGTCGGGGTGGGCACTAGAGAGCGATATGAATGAGCCATAGACTTTGCCTTGGGGATGGCAAAATGAGTGGCAAGTACATTGATGAGTGTTGAGGAACAATGAACAAACTCACGGAACTAAGAGGAGGAAGTCTCTCATTGTACCTGACGTGGAAGTCGGGAAGGGGGAACTTTACAGGGTGATGATATTTGAGTTATTTTGAGGATGAATGCTAACGGGGCTGAGGGGTGGGAGGGGCCTTCCAGGCAGAGGAAAAAGTACCAGGGGAAATGAGGCACGGGAAGTACATGACTGGGGGAGTTCTAAGTGGTGCGCTCTGAGGGTGTTGACACCTGAACACTGATCCCAGTCCTCAGAAGCCCAGCCCACAGGCCAAGAGGGTTCCAAACGCCCCTCAAAGGCTCTGGAGACCAGTCTCAGCAACAGATGAAAACCCATCTCTACAAAAATTACAAAAATTAGCTGGGCATGATGGCATGTACCTGTAGTCCCATTTACTGTGGGAGGATCACTTCAGTCCAGGAGGTCGAGGCTGCAGTGAGCTATGATGGTGCCACCACACTTCAGCCTGGGTGATAGAGGGAGGGGCTGGTTCAAAAAAAAAAGCTCTGGGGAAACACCAGGTGGGTCTGCAGCGTTGATTCCAAGACCTCAGCTGGCCAGTGCCCTGCCCGACCCTGGCACCTCGCCCCTTGTGCTGGTTGATTTCCCTATGTTGTGAGCCAGAGCTAGAGACCTAAAGCTGCCAGCCAAAGGGGTGGAGGAGAAAGGAATGGTGCTGAGCACAGGCCACGCTTATGGAAGCATGTGTTAAAAGCAACTATCCCACCAGGTGGGGGAAGAGATGAATGTTATCTTGAACTTGAAGGGTCCCAACAGCTTTCAGCATGTCCCCCTCACCAAAGGAGAAACCGACAGGGAAATGTTTTCAGTTCTCTAAAAAATGAAACTGAGGCTGGGTGCGGTAGCTCACACCTGTAATCCCAGCACTTTGGGAGGCTGAGGCAGGTGGATCATGAGGTCAGGAGTTCAAGACCAGACTGGCCAACATGGTGAAACCCCATCTCTACTAAAAATACAAAAATTAGCTGGGCATGGTGGCTCATGCCTGTAATCCCAGCTACTTGGGAGGCTGAGGTAGGAAAATTGCTTGAACTGGGACCAGGCAGGTGGAGGTTGCAGTGAGCTGAGATCTTGCCACTGCACTCCAGACTGGGCTACAGAGGGAGACTCCAACTCAAAAAAAAAAGAAACTGAGGGAAAAAAGAAAGGAAATCCACCTCTCCTGACCTCACTAGGGGGCAAATACCACACTGAATACCTTTACATACTTCAGCTTAGTGCAGTCTTATGACAGTTCAGCAAAGTAAGTACTCATTGGCCCTATCTTATAGAAGAGGGACTGAGGCTCAGCCTGTCCATGGTCACAGAGCAAATGCTATCGATAATTTGTCTTGATTGAACAATGAGGACAAGCGACTGATTTTGTGTTGTTGTCATTGGTAGTATTTCAATTAAAAAAACTACAAACCAGGCCGGGTCCAGTGGCTCATGCCTGTAATCCCAGCACTTTGGGAAGCTGAGGTAGATGGATCACTTGAGGTTATGAATTTGAGACCAGCCTGGCCAACATGGTGAAACCCCATCTCTACTAAGAAATACTAAAATTAGCTGGGTGTGGTGGCGCTTGCTTGTAATCCCAGCTACTTGGGAAGCTGAGAATCTCTGGAATCCGGGAGGCAGAGGTTGCAGTGAGCTGAGATCATGCCATTGCACTCCGGCCTCAGCAACAAGAGCAAAACCCCATCTCAAAAACAAAAACCTACAAACGGAAAGCTGGAACCATAGCCTATATTTGTTATTTTTCTTTCATAGCCAAGCTCATTGTTAGGGACAAGGTTGGTGCTCAGTAAATTCTCACTAATAAACGGGTTGATGAATCAGGCCTGATCAACATCCATTTATCATTCTACAACTTGGCTCTCATCACATCTATTATATCATCATAAATAAACTCGTATTTTCTAAGGTTCTACTTTTCTCCAGAGCCACGGTTTTCAACCGCAGATGATTTTTGCCCCCCAGGAGACATGTGACAATGTCTGCAGGCATTCGGAGTTGTCAGACTGGGGGTGGGTAGTTGCTCCTGGCATCTTGTAGACAGAAGCCAGCAATGAGGCTAAACCGTTTTCAAGGCACAAGGCAGTCCCCACCCAAGACTTATCTGGCCTCAAATGTTAACACTGTCGTTGGTGAGAGGTGCTGGTTGAGAAAGCAGCAACATCAAGAAACAGAAGAAAGTAACAAAAACAGAGGTTGAAAGTGTCAAAGAAACCTCTGCACGTCTGACTGAGGCCCAGCAGCAGCTGCCCGCCCTTGTGTGCCACGAATGCTGAAGTTTGTTGCTGCCTTCCATTAGGCAATTAGTCACATGGGCAGTGGGCAGTGGTCTGCGTGGAACTGAGCCCTGAACCTGAAGCATAATGCCTGTGTCTGTATCCTCTGCTATTTTGCCAAAGTGACTTTTTTTTTTTTGGAGAGCATTAGTGCAATCACTGCTCACTGCAGCCTTGACCTCCTGGGCTCAAGCAGTCCTCCCACCTCAGCCTCCTGAGTAGGGCTGCGAGCATGTGCTACCACGCCCAGCTAATTTTATAATTTTATGTTTTTTCTTTGGTAGAGGCAGGGTCTTGATATATTTCCCAGGCTGGTCTCAAACTCCTGGACTCAAGTGATTCTCACACCACTATATCCAGCCCAGTGAGTTTTAAAGAAATTCTTGGGCTGGGTGCGATGGCTCTTGCCTGTAATCCCAACATTTTGGGAGGCTGAGGCGGGTGGATCACCTGAGGTCAGGAGTTCAAGACCAGCCTGACCAACATGATGAAATCCCTTTCTACTAAAAATATAAAATTAGCCGGGTGTTGTAGTTCACACCTGTAATCTCAGTTACTTGGGAGGCTGAGGCAGGAGAATTGCTTGAACCCGGGAGGCAGAGGTTGCAGTGAGCTGAGATCGTGCCATTGCATTCCAGCCTGGGCAACAAGAGTGAAACGCCATCTCAAAAAAAAAAAAAAAGAAAAAAAAAAAAAAAGAAATTCTTGTCATCTCTATAGTTTAACTTCAGTGTTTCAGGGATAGAGCAGTTATTCTACCCTGAATGTCTTCCCCGTTTGGTCTGAGGGGTTATGTATGAAGGATTGTGTCCTTCTCACTTGCTCCCAAAACGAAACCACTGATTTCTCAAATGCAAACTCTACCTTAGCATTCACCAGGAGAATAAAGCCTTTGAGACCAAGGTAATAATGACAACAATCAGAACCACCACCCTCCAATGAACGTTGTTACATGCTATGCTAGACAGTTTAACCACCTGCTTCTAATCCTCCCAAAGGCCCTACTAAGTAGATGTAATTATTTCCATCTTACAGACTGGGAAACAAGCCGCAGCTCCCCTGAGATCCTGCAGCTAATCCCAGCTGCAAGGGGCCTCTCAGCGCCTCCTCCCAGCTCTTCCTGGGGCTATTTGAAGGACACTCTGGGGTGAGCAGAGGCAAGTCTCTCCCTGGGGAGTGGGATGACCAGCCCAGCCCCCTCTGGTCTGCAAGACATTTGCCCGTTTCAATCACTGCAACTGCAGCTGTGCCTCTTGAGTGCCCACCACTTACCATGTACAGGGCATGCTCTTTATAGAGGCGAACTCGAAGTCCTTTCCTCCATTTTTCAAAGGCTAAAATAAAGCCCAGACAGGTGAAGTTGCCTGCGCAATATCACAAGGAGAGCAAGCGACAGAGCCAAATCCGCAGTGAGACTCTCTGACCTCAGTCTCTGTCCACGTTGCTTCACTGCCTGCCCCTTCCAGGGAATGCTCTGGGAAACTCGGTGCCTGGTGCAGCCCTGAGTTCTGCCTACTGTGGTTGAAAAGAACCTGTTCTGACATTTGATTTTGCCTTTTGAATAACCCTGTTCCTCTGCTGTCCACTGGGAATTTCTGCAGGTTTATTCATCTGCTCACTTCCTCCTTTGGCTGGTTTGCAAAGCGCATGGGTGCTGAAGTTCCCCAGAGGCCAAGTCTCCCCTAAGAGGCCCTGAAACCCTTCTTGGGCTGCACGGAAGGAGCTGAAGTGGGAAGAAGGCAAATATAAGATGTCGACACTTGCTCCTCTCCATCCCCAAGAGCCTCACTCTTATCAACAAAGATCTCAAACTGAGGTGTGGGGTTGCACCCCGGGCCCCAGGATGAGGGAGAGGGAAAGCTGAGTATTCTGTTTGTGTAGTTTGTGCAAAGGAGCTCAGGCCTCACCTTGGTAAATGTGAAATTCACAAATCCACCCTGAAAATTTAACAGAAGGTTGGATTTTCGGGTGCCACAGTTCCCAGAGGCTTGGGTTATGTTGGGGTCGATGTTGAAGTATCTCCGAGGCGAAAAAACCTAAACCAAGTAAGAGAGATTAGCTAAGTGAGAGGTAGAAGAAAACTCTAGCTAGAGAACCAGAGCACAGGCTAGTAGATGAGCCTGGAACTTAAAGCTGAGTATTCACTGGAGAACTGCAGAGTCCCCAGACAACACCTCTCATTTCCAAACTGTTCTGTTGGAAAGCTTTCTTAAAGAGTTCTCACCGGGCATGGTGGCTCATGCCTGTAATCCCAGCACTTCGGGAGGCTAAGGTGGGTGGATCACCTGAGGTCAGGAGTTCGAGACTAGCCTGGCCAAGGTGAAACCCCATCTCTACTAAAACTACAAAAAATTAGCCGGGGATGGTGGCAGGTGCCTGTAATCCCAGCTACTTGGGAGGCTGAGGCAGGGGAATTGCTTGGACCCAGGAGGCAGACGTTGCAGTGAGCTGCATTCCAGCCTGGGTGACAGAGCGAGACTCCATCTCAAAAAAAAGAGGAATTCACCCACAAAGAGGAGTTCCTTCGTAAATAATTGATGGCAGGTATATTCCTGAGAAACAACATGGAATTTATGTTAAGTCAAACATGGTAAATGATACTGTAGGGAAGGCTTTGCTCTGTAAGGTACCTTTGTGTCAAATGACAACCTGGATGTGGAAGTTTCATTTGAAATCATTAAAGTTTGCAGACAAAGAAAATATTGTTTTAGTGATCCCTTCAGTACCTTGAGTAATCACAACCCCTCTCCCTTTCCATCTTCTTGTTAATGTGGATTTCCATATTAATGTCATATAATAATGCCTGGAGCCATAGGGACCGTCTGACTTAAGCTCTCATTTCACAGGAAAGGATATGAGGCTTGGAAATCCTGGAGTGGTAGGGAGGGGCTCAGATCAACGCTGAACCTTCCAGGACACTCTGCCCATGTTGGCTCAAAGTGAGGGGTGTGAATATTTATTTATTTGTTTGCCTTCCTCTCTCCAAACAGAAAATAGAAAATTAGTTTCTATCTCCATGTATATCCTACAACATAATCACCTTTTAATGGAGTACCTTTTAATGAGCTCACGGCAACTTGCTTAATTTAAAGACGGGATGTGGGGAACGCTCATTCCTAGCAAGGCAAACTCCACTGAGACTTTCTGAAGGTAGCGTTGTAGTCCTGTGGCCCCCACTTACCGACTCCTTGTCTTGAACGATCAGCTGTATCCCCATCTCTGCTTTTATACAGAGTCTGCTTCCATTCAGAACCTGGTAAGTTCCAGTCTTGGCTGACGTTGGCTGAGGGGCGAGGGTGGGTGCAGGAATGGTGGAGACAGGCGGGGCTGTCCCAGTGGTACTCTGTGTGGCTGCAGTTGTGCCTGGGGCATGGGTGGTTTGAATGGGCTTCTGACTGCCTGTGCTTTTGCGTGGTGTTGTGGGTAAAGTTGCTGGAAGGATGGTCTGGTTACTGGGTTGGGTGGCGTTCCTAGTTGTGTGGCTGATGGTTGATGAACTGGTTCTGGCTGTATGAGCCGGTGGAGTGATGGTGGCTGGCTGTGAATGAGGGGCTGAGCTGGGGCCAACCGTCGCTTCAGTAACTGGAGCAGCCGTGTGTGAGTGGTCGGGTGTGTGCTGGGTTGTGACCAGGGTGTGGATAACTGGGCTGGTGGCTGCGGTGCTCTTTGCAGTTACCCGGGTGTCTGTTGGGGTTTTCATTGTGGACGCTATTTGAGAGGTGATGTGACCGTCCACCAGTCTTGCTGCTAGGGTTTGCGGAGGTGCTTGGTTCGCTGGCTGCAGGACAGGTTTTGCTGTGTCCTGTACTGTGGCTGCTGTAGTGAGCTGAGAATAATCTCTGGTTTCCAGAAATGCCTTTGCTCTCATTTGACTGCCATCCTGCAAAATCACTGAAAAGCAGGAGACAAAAGTGTTAAAATACTAACCAGTTGCTTACAAAATCCCTCTCCCATCCCCATCTCGATATTTGTTCATAAAAAAACCCTGACATGCATATTTTTATAGTTGGGCGAAGTTTACGAGGGTATAAAAATGAAGCAAACATCACCAGAGTCTACCACTAGGCTGCGGTGGTCATGTTCTGGTCGTATCCACGTCTTCTACAGGGTGATGACCGTCCCACAGACGTTCTTCCGCACCCAGCCCCTTTGCCTGTGTGGGGTGCGGTACGAGTACACACCAAAGCAATCGTGCTCAGCTAGGTATCTAAGTGCCAATGCCTCTTCATCCTCCTCCTTCAAATGTGAGTCCAGACAGTTGACATAAAATAGTGTTCCTGGATAAACAGCTGCTGTGTGACCTGACAGAGCTGGTCAGCAGGAAAAATGGTAATAAGGCTTTACAGAGTTATACGGTTTTAATAGAATCATGTAATCCCAGGTTTGAAAGGGGTTTTAAAACTCATTTAGTCCAAACCCTAATCTTTTTATTTTTATTTTTCTGAAACAGAGTCTCACTTTGTCACCCAGGCTGGAGTGCAGTGGTGCAATCTTGGCTCACTGCAACCTCTGCCTCCCAGGATCAAGCGATTCTCCCACTTCAGCCTAGTGAGTAGCTGGGATGGCAGATGTGAACCAACATGCCTGGCTAATTTTTGTATTTTTAGTAGAGACAGGTTTCACCATGTTGTCCAGGCTGGTCTCAAACTCCTGATCTTATGATCTGCCTGCCTTGGCCTCCCAAAGTGCTGGGATTACAGGCGTGAGCCACTGTGCCCAGCCCTGAACCCTAATCTGATGTCTAAATTATCCCTACAGATCTTTGTCATGTGTTCATCAAATGGAGCCTTAAATGTTCCCAATGACAGGAGATTCATCTTTTCACAACATAGTCCTTTTCATTTTTTTAACAAATCTTGTCACCTGTTGTTTTCTTAATATAGACCAATTCGTGTCATTTTCTTACTTAACTTTTGGAGTGGCCCAGTCTTTCTCCACCACCAAAGCAAAGGCAGCCGCTCTGATATTTCAGAAAGCGGCCCTTTCTGTTCTGGCCTCCATGTCAGCTCCTCAGGGCATCTTGTCCTCTCATAAAAAATAGGTCATCATATCCATGATTCTTCACTGCAGTGTTACATTCGTGGCTTTCGCCGCGTTGGTTACAACTTGTAATTAGATATCGGGATGGCATGCACACATTTCATAATCAGCCCGGCCGGTACGTACCCGCCGAATGTTTCCCTGATGAAACGTTTGCTTCTTGGTTTATCTGTTGGGCGAGGATCTTTCCTCGTAGCCTCAGAGTACTCTGAAGGGGAGGACTGTGTGCTGTTTTCACCACGAGTGCCTTGCAGAGACGGAGTTCAGTAAATGTGGATCGAACAAATAAATGACTGAATGTGCTCACTGTAGGCCTTTTCGGATGATTGTAAGGCTCAAATGAATTGATTTAAGTAAAACTCTTAATGGACCATTAAGCACACAGACAGTGTCTACTGTGGTCATGGATTCTCTCCAGAGCCTGTCCGTAAGGGCCGAAGGCCTCTGCTTCTTTTCCAACTAGAATAGTTCTACTCTTGCCTCCTTCCAGGCACATACGGGTCAAGAAAAGTGAACAAAACACAGATGGGCCGGGCACGGTGGCTCACGTCTGTTACCCCAGCACTCTGGGAGGCCAAGGGGCCGATCACCTGAGGTCAGGAGTTCAAGAGCAGCCTGGCTGACATGGTGAAACCCCGTCTGTACTAAAAATATAAAAATTAGCTAGGCAGCTTCTCGGGAGGCTGGGGAAGGAGAATGGCTTGAACCCGGGAGACAGAGGTTGCAGTGAGCTGAGATCGTGCCATCGTATTCCAGCCTGGCCAACAAGAGCAAAACTCCATCTCAAATCAACAACAGCAACAACGAAAAGAGATGATGTCTTTAGGAGTCTATGGTCAGGCACACTGAGAGATGGCTGTGTCCCTTCAATTCTGTGGTTTCTCTGTGTTTACCCACAGACACTCAGGAGAGCTGGAGCTGTCCTATGCTGGGCTGGGACTTGGGAAAACACAGAGTAAGAAAAAGGAGATCATGCTAGTATTTACAAAGTCCCAAAGTTCATACCCAATCAGAATTATTTTCGATACCTGCCTTTTCTATCTCCCTCCTCTATTCAATACATTTCGAAGTGGTTACTTTTCTGATATTAATAACAATCTAAATTCCAAGTTACTGGACGCTTACTACATGGAAGGCCTCAGGCCAAGGGTCACCTTTTACCAAGTTCTCCCAAAAACCCTTTGGTGGGCACCACGTCATCCATCTTTCAAATGAGGAAACTCGGGCTTGGAGGATTTCAGCCGTTTGACCTTCATGACACAACGAGTAGAAGCTGGGGCTGAGACTCCGGCACTTGTGCAGCTGCATCAAAGCTTGCCCTTGGATTCGAGGGATGGTGCAGGTGGAGCGTCTCAGGGAAGAATGGTGAGAGAAGACGCAAAAGTAGAGGGGAGAGGAATAGGAGGGTGCCTTCCAGTGATTCCAATTCAGGAAAACCTCATAATGATGACCCTGAGTGAGGATCTCAAAAGTTCATGGGCTGAAATGGGGATTCTTTTCCAGAAGGGGTCTAACTTTAAGCCCAGTAGTAAAACCCATGAATTACTTCTGTACAGCTGGTTTGCAAAATAGGAAAGACAAAAGCATCAGTTCACGTTGCCTTAAAAACCTTTCAAAAAGACCGACTGTTATCAGTGACATGAAGTTATTTGAGGTCATTATTTAAGTCTTTTCTTGAATCTAAAGTATTCATTTGGTCAAGTTAAATGCATGATACTTGAGAGTTGGAGGTTTGATGGGCTACAGGTTTCCTTTGCAAACTTTTGTGAAACCCCTACATATATAGAACCTTTATACAAATGTCGTGGAGCTTGGAGAAAAACTTTTCACTTCGAGATTATAATGGAGGTTGAGTGTTGCTGAAGATTTATTTGAGCCATTCATTTGGGCAAAACCTGCATTGCTGGTTCTTGGGTCGAACACGAAGAGTCTCTTTAGGTTCATACTATTACTATGGAGAAAGAGAATTCACTCTCAAATGTCTTCCAGGACTAACTCGTGGTGAAAAATAAAGATGGCTTCAGAGAACTCCAGGAGACTAGAAATCACTAGCGAGTCGTTCCCTTAGGGAGGTGATCATATCTCTGCTAAAATCCTACTGGGTGTGGCTGGTATTTATAAGCAATAGAGAATCTTCTCAACTGAGTACAATTTCCTAAACTGAGTAGTGCACCCTTTGAAAAAAAAAGGCAGGTGGTGGCTCATGCCTGTAATCCAAGCACTTTGGAGGCCAAGGCAGGTGGATCACCTGAGGTCAGGAGTTCAAGACCATTCTGACCAACATGGTGAAACCCTGTCTTCAAAAAAAAAAAAAGAAAGAAAAAAAGGTCTTTTTCAAGGTGCAACTAGGACTCTTCTTTCGTGGTAATGAGTGAGCTCAAATAAATAAAAGAAGCACTTAGTTGTTCACAAGTGAACAGCATCCTAAACCGGTCAAGAAGACATGTGGTACCTGGTCAAGGTGTACCTGCTATGTAGGAAGCGTTGGTGGGGTGGCTGGAGGTGATGGCAGTTGAGATGTCTGGTGTGTGTAGGTGTAGGTATGTCTCTGGGTGGTGGACAGAAGGCTGGGCTGGCAGATGGCTCAACCACAAGTGCCAAGTTCACAGATGTTACAGACTGAACCTGTCAGAGGAGTTTAGTTCTCACCCCTTCTCCTTCCCTCTACTGGCCCTCCCCGCCTCTCCTCCTCTCCCTGTAGGAGTGTGGTGGAAAACAGATGGGCAGGTGATTCGACTGGGGTAGGGCTGCTCTGCATTGTAAAGTAGCTCAGAAAGCCCGTATGAGCCACTCTATGTACATGACCACACACACGGCCTATGTACATGACCACACATATATGACTGATTTCTGTCACAATTGGGTCACAGTTTTTAAAAGAGATGCTTGGCCCTGTAGAGGTTTAATCAAGGTCACAGGTCTGTCTGAGGCCTAGAAAGAGGGTGGTGGGCGGCCTGTAATCCCGCACTTTGGGAGGCCCAGGAGGGTGGATCATGAGGTCAAGACATCGAGACCATCCTGGCTAACATGGTGAAACCCTGTCTCTACTAAAAATACAATAATTAGCCAGGCATGGTGGTACATGCCTGTAGTCCCAGCTACTTGGGAGGCTGAGGCAGGAGAATCATTTGAACCCAGGAGGTGGAGGTTGCAGTGAGCTGAGATTGCACCACTGAATTCCAGCCTGGCGACAGAGAGAGACTCTGTCTAAGAAAAAAAAAAAAAAGAAGCAAAGGCAGGTGTAGCTCAGACTCTGTCTCGACCCTCCCTCTATTTGAAGAACGTACGCTGGTGTTCACACACTCCTCTGCCCACCCCCACCCACCCCACCCCACCCTAGCCTGTCTTCTCTAGAATTCAGGAGACTCAGCAAACAAGCACCCCAGGCCCTTGACCCATTGCTTGGACTCCACTAGATGGAAATTTGCATGAAGAGGCATTGGGGGGTTTTGGTTCGCCTCCAACCAGTGGGTGTGAGATGAGTCATTGCCCAGTCCCCTGGGAAGGTCAGTGATCTCACAAGGGACCTTTCCCAGGTATTTTCCTGACAGCCAGTCCCTTCCCACACAGCCTTTGGTTAGTTCCCTGCCACACCACTCAACAGTATGTAGGGGTTCCCCTCTCAGGCAGGCCCCACACCAGGCACTGCAGGGTAGGTCTTTGTTCTCAGGGGCCCTGTGAGGTAGACACAGAAGTGTGACAAGTTTTTCTCCCAGGATGGAATGCAGTGGCATGCTCAGGGCTCACTGTAGCCCCAGCTTCCTGGGTTCAAGCGATCCTCCCACCTCAGCCTCCCTAGTAGCTGGGACTACAGGCATGTGCCACCACACCAAGCTGATCTTTGCATTTTT